CGCATGCTGCCCCCAGAGCCGCCGCCTGCTGGCCGTGCTGCCCCGTGTCTGTCTGGCATCCCTCTCCCTGCCCGGCTTCCCAGATGTGTCCTTGGCCAGGATGCCAGGGCTGCTCGGTGGGGAGATGGTCCCAGCACCTGCCCGGCCCCTCTTGTTACCCAGGACGCCCTGGGGGTCCCTGGTAACTCCCCAAAGCCTTGCCCTGAGCTCCGGGGGCCTGGGACACAGAGATCGGAGGCGAGGCTTCCGCGCCAGCTGGGGCCGACCCGGCTCCGTCCTTCCCATTTCAAACCCCAGGAGTCCAAACTGACAGCAGCAGGCGTGCCCCCCGCTGTCCTCCCTCTCACCCCCGCCCCCAGGCCAGCGGGCCAGTCCTGACCAGAGGTCGACGCTCACCACGGAGCCCCGCCGGCCGCGCTGCACTTCGCTGCTTCTTCTCCTGAAGCGTGTCCGGGGCCGCTCCTCGTCCCCGGGAGGCTGTCCTGCTGGGGAAGGTGCTGGGCTCCTCCCTGGCTGGGGAACCCCCCAGTCTCTTCCCCTGCACCTCCCACAGTCCCGCCTCTGAAGGGGTGATGCTCTGCATGGAGGGGGGCCCTTCCTAACTGACGGGCCTGCTGCAGACCTGCCTCCATGTCAGCCCAGACCAGCCTGCCCATGGCCGAGCCTCAGGGTGACCTGACCTGGGCAGCGACGCCCCCTGGGGATCGGGCCTGTAACCCGGGCAGGTGCCCCGACCGGAATGGAACCGCGACCTCCTGGTTCAGAGGTCGACGCTCACCACGGAGCCCCGCCGGCCGCGCTGCACTTCGCTGCTTCTTCTCCTGAAGCGTGTCCGGGGCCGCTCCTCGTCCCCGGGAGGCTGTCCTGCTGGGGAAGGTGCTGGGCTCCTCCCTGGCTGGGGAACCCCCCAGTCTCTTCCCCTGCACCTCCCACAGTCCCGCCTCTGAAGGGGTGATGCTCTGCATGGAGGGGGGCCCTTCCTAACTGACGGGCCTGCTGCAGACCTGCCTCCATGTCAGCCCAGACCAGCCTGCCCATGGCCGAGCCTCAGGGTGACCTGACCTGGGCAGCGACTGTGTCTGGCGACTGGAGCAGGGGAGTGGCCGGTTGGGGGGCCACCCGTGTCCCCTGTCCTGGTTCTCTGCTGTTGCATAACCAGCTACCGGTGCTTGGTGGCTTCACACAGCTGGTGCTCAGGATGCAGGCAGGGCTCAGCGGGCAGCCCCAGCCACCTGGGTCCTCAGCCGGCTCGGTGACCGTCAGCTGCTGGCGAGCCTCAGTCACACCTGTGCTCGGGCCTAGTCCCACCTGGAGGTCACACCAGGCTGTCCTGGGGGAGGGGTCAAGGTCATTCCAAATTCAGGGAGACTGGGTGCCCAGTTCTGGGAGAGGCTGAAGGAGAGGAGGGCCCGGCCTGAAGGCTGTGGCAGAGGCCCAGGCCCTCCCTCTGCACATCCTCCGGTCCCTCCACCAGCCACTCATCCTGCTGGCCTGGCACACCTCCCTCCATGGCCCCCGGTGCCAGCAAAGCCCTCTGCCCCAGGAGCGTCCGGGCCTGGGTCCCTGGGTCCCTGGGTCCCCAGGCCAGGCCCTCCCCTGGCAGAGCCGTCCAGAGGGCGCCACGGCCAGCGACAGGAAGCCGGATCTGGCCGCGGGCCGTAGTTTGCCCACGGCTGGTTTGGACACTGAAGTCAGCGTGTGTGGGCGAGGGGGCCGAGCTGCCCACACGCCCGGTGCTTGTCTGAAAGGGCGCAGCCGCCGGGAACACTTCCAGCACCAGAGAGCCTTCCTCTCCTGTCACGTGTCATCCTGGCTTCGAGGCCGACTGGCCATGAGGGTGTGTGTGTGTGTGTGTGTGTGTGTGTGTGTACACGCAAGCGCACACATGCATCTGTTTCAGCAAATGAGTCGGAGGCCTGGGAGGCCTCCAGTGCCCTCTAGTGGCGAGAGGGGCCCACTACTCGGTGCATGGGTATGAGTGTGTGTGTGTGTGTGTGGTGTGTGCCACATGTTTGGGTGTGTGCATATGCACATACGTGTGTTGTGATTGCGTACACATGCATGTGTTTGGGTGTGTGCATGTATTTGCATGTGCACGCATGTACTTGGGTGTGCGCTGTTTTGTATGCTCATGTGCACATGTGTGTTTGTTTGGGGTGGGTGTGCACACATGGGTTTGGGTGTGTGCATGCACATTTCTGCTCACGCTGGAGTGTGGGGTGTCAGGTCCAGGTGGAGCACACGTGGGCATGGCTGCTGGGCTCTCAGTCACACGTCACACATATGTACATGGAGACCCCACTCCTGGCTTTTCTCCATCACCCCTGGCCCAGCTGATGGCCTGTTCCCTCCTGGCTGTGACTGCCACCTGCCCCCCAGTGCACCCCGCTTCGTTTAAATTCCCCCCAAACAGCTTGGCAAGCCCAGCCCCCCAGACCCTGTCCCTCAGGCCGGCTGGCCTGGCTTTTGGTCAGAGTCCCAGGGCGGGTGACTGGGCCACCCCCTGCCCAGGAGCCTGCAGTCCCGGGGACATAAATCTCCCAGATGCAGCTGCCCTGGCTGTGGAGGCGCCTGGCCTGTCGCCTCCAGGGCACAGCGTCCTGCTCAGCTGGCTGGACCGGACCCATCGAGTCCCTTCCGCCAAACGCCACGGCCAAAGGGCAGGCTCTTCCTGGCGTCTTCCATCCCGAGTGACCGGGGCCCTCCAGGGCCCGGCACACCCAGGAGGTCCCCAGACCTTCAACCTCATGTCGATAAATCCTGCATCCCTCACGCGGGCCCGGGCGGCCTGTGTGGAGGAGAAACCCCGTGATTCCCGGCGCCCACTGACAGGGTGGGAGCCTGGCTGCACCACTCACGACTCTGTGAACCTCAGCAGGTGCCTCCGTGTTTCCAGCTGTGAAATGGGCGCGGATCTAAGACGCGCTGGTGAGGGCTGAGAACCTCGCCTCCGTGGTGGGCCAGGCGCTCGGAACCCGACGGGAACCCTCCACCTCTGGGTGACGGCACCCTCATCACCTCCAGGGCAGAAGAGGAAGCTGAGGCTCAGAGAGGCAGGGCGTCCCCGGGGGCAGGGACTGTGCAGCTGGGATGTGCGACCAGGCCCGGCTCACCCGGAAGTGCGGGCTCTGCAGCGCCCCCCAGAGCACGTGTGTGACTGTGCACCCCGCGGGGAGGGAACCGCCCGGCTGCCAGATGCCCGCAGAGCGCCCCGCTGAGCAGGCTGGCGAGAGGGGTGTAACGGCCACAAGCAGCACAGGTGGTGATGCCTCGTTCGTTCGTGGGGGCTGGGGGGCTCCCCCAGAGCCCCAGGTTCATTACCCGCCCCTCCCCCACGTCTCCACACCTGGTCCAGCGCCAGGTGACCCTCCGGTTCCCACCAGGTGGCAGCATCGGACCCCCGCTCCCTGAGCTGCTAGGGGTTGGCACCTGGGCCCGCAGGTGTGACCAGGTGAGCGGCAGGCGCAGAGGGGTCACGTGTCTTCCCCAAAACTCCCCGAGGCTGGCAGCACCCGGGGGTGCCCCTCGTCCTGTCCTGTAAGATGTGGCTGCAAGCCCCACCCCACAGAGGGGACCCTGTCCTGGGGCTCAGCCCCCCTCTGCCCGGGCACCCCCACCCCACCGCGGGCTCGGACATAAATTAAAATTCCATTTCATTAAGGCAGCGGCAATCCATCCCCGCTGCGCTAACAATGCCGGGCGGGCTCCTCCGCGGCGGTAACTCACGCGGCCTCCCCCGCTCCGGCTCGCAAACTGCTGGAGCTGCACTTTCCGCCCAAATTTATGGCGCTGGCAGCGTCTGGGGCCTGAGTTACGGCCGCGGGTGTGATGGGGCCGGCATTCTCCTGCATCCAGTCCTCCCGCCCTGGCAGCCGGGAGCGGGGAGGGGCAGGCCTGTTGTTCTCCCGGCACCGGCTTTGTTCTCTGGCCGCCAGGCCCCGGCCACCCACCCCAGGCAGACACCCCACAATCCAGGCCCCGGCCACCCACCCCAGGCAGACACCCCACAATCCAGGCCCCGGCCACCCACCCCAGGCAGACACCCCACAATCCAGGCCCCGGCCACCCACCCCAGGCAGACACCCCACAATCCAGGCCCCGGCCACCCACCCCAGGCAGACACCCCACAATCCAGGCCCCGGCCACCCACCCCAGGCAGAGGCCCGAAGGGGTGCCAACACCCAGCTGAATGCACTCCCGTGTCATCCCGTAAAGGAGGAAGTGCCGGAACCCATTTCACAGACCAGCTAACTGAGCCCGGGCCTGCGAACAGCAGGGCTCACAGCTTAGCCTCTGCCCCAGCGAAACACTGGCCCAGGTGCCGGCCGACGGTGGCCCAGGGCGCCCACGGCAGCATTGCCTGCAACGGCCCCAGATGAGAACAAAAGAGCAAACCCAACAGGCCACAGCGCAGAGCCTGGTGGGACCCGGAGACTCGGAGCTGGTGAGAAAGAGCCGGGCCGCTCCGTGTGTCCGCGCAGCCACGTGGCCAAGCTGTGCTGGACGTGGCC